GCTCCTTCCCCTACTTAGGAAGTTGTTGAGCAGACCTGGGTTATGAGAAGCATACTTGCTCCACAGACATATTGGGATTTTGGATGACAGGGAATTTGGGGGCTGGCTAGTTGTTTTTTCACTCATGCCTAATATGTTGATCTGTTTGCTTTCAAATTAGTGTTAGGTTCAATGCCAAACACACAGAATATCCAAGTACATCTCAACTTACTGACCTCTGGTACACTTGAAGTGTAAGCTGGTGTCATAGAAATTGTATTTGTAATGGGGAATCACTTGCCTGGATGATCTCCTTTTTGGTGAGTTCATTGTGCCCTTGACAAACACAGCTCAACACTTAAATCCCTGAAGTTCAGTCATGGGCCACAAGTGTAGATCTCTGTATCATGTCCCAGATACATAGTTCAAAACACAAGTATCTAGATCAGAGCCTATGTTCATTCAGGTGGCACAAGTGTGCTGCATGTCAGGAAAATACATCCCTCATAGATTGTTGATACTCAGCAAGGCAAAAGAAAGGAGCAAGTGCTCTTTTCTGTAGGAAGTTAAAGGTCCAAGGTCTTAGCAAGAGCATTCAGGAAAAGAGATTTACATAAGTGGTAACATTTTTCAGTTAGTACTTTGGTGCCAACTGCAAGGACTCATGTGATACTACAGATGTTCCAGTGTGATCGTTTAGTCATGTCACATTAATGATTGCTGTTACTTAAACAAGAGTAAGTTCAGTGATGTAGCACATAGAATTTTATATGGCTGAGCAAACTGCTGACATGAATTTTGCCTATGTGGATGTCAGAGAAGTTCTGTGAGCTTTCAGAAATGCAAAAGAGTGAAATGTCCTCTTCATTTGTGTGAGTAGAGTCAGTGAAAGAGTATCAAATGAATGATCGGAAAGACTGAGGCACAGACTTTACTTCCCTGGCAGAGGTAGGAAGATACTGGCTGAATTTGTTTCTTAGTCCAGCTTCAGGGAGGACTGGCCAGAATGTAATTCTGTCTGCATTGCTTAAAGTACAAAGATAGCATTGCAAAGAATAAGATTTTCCCTGCTTTACAAGAAATTTATATTGAATGTTTTCTTTCTTTGCAAGCTTCAGTCCGCAAAACTCAAAATACTTGCTTCAGCTCACTGAGAGGCAAGCTGGGCACTTTTTGTTCTAGTTCTATTAATGTACCTACCTTCAGCCCAATCGTTTTGCAGGCCATTTAAATGAAGGCTAGCTCTTTGAATTCATCAGTATTTTAAGAATAAGCCAGACAATGGCATATTTGAATGTTGAGGCCAGGATCTTCTTAGCCTTTAGCACTGCAAATCAGATTGACTTGTGAGATTGCACTCAAAGATGACAGGAGAAACCTGTGTGTTATATGATGTTGCAAGTATGGCCACAGCCATCATGTGACCAGACTATTTTTAAATCTGTAGTGCCAACTTGTTAATAACAGTGCAGAGAAGGGATGTGGTGCCTTCAGATGAACTAACCGCAGAAACAGTGCTTCCAGAAAAATGCTTACCTTTCATCCAACTACTTTTACACATACAAAGTATGACTAAAAAAAGGTTGAAAGATCAGACTGGGGTCTAAATAATTTTTTCTTGTGCTCTCTATTGGTGCTAATGACTACAGAATGAGCAGCCACTGAATTGTAGTGATGATAAAATTTCAGGATTTCAAGACAATCTCATTGCTATCATCTTCTAGGAAGCTGACAGTTTTTCTTGCCTTAACTAATATTTTTTGGCTGTCTTGATGCATGTAGTATGAACTGGCAACACTATTGATGAAAGCCCTTCCTGAACTTCTCTACAGACCTGTGGTGAATTATCAATTCTTTAGTCTTTTGGAGTGAATGTGATGTACACCAGACAAAGACTTCCGACCAGAGATAGTTGCCATGGCTGGCTGTTGCCTTATCCTTTAGGGGAAACAAGATGAGAGGTACCTGTAGGAGTTCTGCACCTCCAGGGTGCTCAGGGGTGAGCATTTCTTGAGGAGCTTTCATAGGTGTGCGTCTTGAGGGCAGGATGTGGAAAAGCACCATGTGCAGGCCTGGTCACTTGACAGTGCACACAACACAGGAAATTATTTCCCTGTCCATTACCCAGCCAGTGCTCCCAAAATGGCACAGCTTGCGTTGTTACGCTAAAGAGAAAGAAAAGTTCACATTTCAAGATAAAACTGTCCTTTTAGTTAAACAATGATTCTGCTTATGTAACAGCTCTTTTAATGGTGAAGTACAGCTGGAGCCTGGAACGTTGTTTACAGAAATACCATGCAACGGGTAACAATTATAACAACAATACTGTAAAATGCAGTAAATGGCGCTGAAGGCATGAGAAGTGGGGAGAGGATGCAGGTGCTGCCTTCCTGGGAGCAGGAGGTTTGAACCAAGCTTTAGTAAACCAGGAGAATGGGCTCTGTAAAGTTCATCAAAGGACTGGTGTCCAACAAGTCTAACAGGAGGGGGAAATGGTTCTTCTCAAAGCAAGAATGGGAGAGGGCCCAAGAGAGAGGAGCTGGCACAGCACAGATGGTGCCCATAGGAAGGATTTCTAGAACTTGAAAGGGTAGAGGAGGCTGTGATTGTAAAGATTTGATGTGATAAGGAGAAACAGGAGTCAGAGAAGACAGAAATGACAAAGCTCTGATACTTTTTGGTCTTGGTTTATTGTAATTGTATCTTCATGCATAGGAGAGAGGCTGCTGAGTAATCTTGCTCTTCTCGTTCTTGAAATGGTAACCATTGACTAATGCACATGCATACAAAAATACACATATTCTCACACCCACACAAATATGCAATTGCACAAAATTAGGAAATTTCCTCAACTTTCTTCTGAGATGTTCAAGATTTGACAAAGCAAATTCTGACTCAGTGTTAGCTGAAACTGGGAGCATGCCTGTCAACCAATGGCATCTTCACTCCAGCATATTAATTTTCCTTCTTCCCTTGAGATAGTTCGCAAGCTTTGTATGTGTCATTAGCAAAAAACACAGCTACAGATATGTTTGAAGTGTCACTTTTTCATAATATTTTGAACTAATTTGTTCAATCTGAAGTAAAAAATCCTGGACTTATGGACTTGTTGTTTACAGCAAGCTAAAGGTTCATACTTAGATGTTATATGAATGATGAAACAAAGGTGTAAATATTTTATTACTGAGTGGAAACAAGTCTTTTCAAAAGCACATCTTTGTACACAAAGCATTTGTAAATCCCCATTAGTGGTATTTATGTTTCCACATAAAAATTCCTCGTTTGCAGCCAACAAAGTATCTTAGGCTTAGATCTTCCTGCTACATGTAATGCAATCACAATGCTGTCACAGACATCACAACCATTTTTGTAAAATATGATGTTAAGGAAAACTGGGTTCATTGTATTATACATATGTAAATGCCTCTCTTTCAGTAGTCTCAGAGGAAAAAAGATGCCAGAAAGAATTCTTAACCAGTGTACATATTAATTGTCACCACCTTTCATGGGATAGTAAAGTGCATTCATACAAAGAAAAGCATTAAGAACCAAGGAGGCTGCACAGGGAAAGTGAGGGCATTTGAGTGAGACCTAAGGAAGTCACACGGTAAATTATGATAATCTAATTGTAATCCAGAAAATCATTCTTCCCTTGTTTGTGCCTGTAATGAGGTAATGGTGCAGCTCCTCTGGCTTCAGACAGCCACTACAGATTTACAGCAGACTGTGGATGATCAGGCTGCAGCACAAGTTCTTTGTTAATGTTGTACCTCTACAAGGATGTCTGAGTTCAGAATAGCTGTTGGTGTAATTTGCAGAAGTGAACATGTTGTTCCTCTGTAGCTCAAACTCCGTTCAGTTTCAGAGAACTGGTTATCACAGAGCATGGTTAATTGGTTGTTGATCCTGTATGTTTATGTGGTTGTGTGTAAGCTTTTTGAATCTGGCTGTGGATAAGAAATCCATAGTATGACTAAATAATTGGACTGAAAGTTTTGGAAATAAATTATCTGGACAGAAACAGCACTCACATGGATATGCTTCATTACAATAAAACTCTACTGAAAACCACTAGGTGTGCTTGAAGTAGATGACCTCTGTCTTTGATTGGCATCTGCCCAGAATTGAAACAATTCAAGCTATCCAAAAAATTAAATTTCCTGAATTAAAACAGGTTCCCAGCTACATACTAAAATAAAGGGATGCAATTCAGTATCTGATCATTCCTACATAAGCATGACTTGACAGAGGTTCTGTCTTTAGTTCAACCACTTTTCTCTTAGGGATTTGACTTAGGTTCTGCCTTTTGCTGAGGTACAGCTGTTCATGAGAAATTGAAATGCTGCTTGCCTGTGTATTTCCCATTGTGTAGTCCTTCGTCGTTCTGTGTGGCTTCTCTCCTATCTTGAGGATGCTAAATGAGTTGGTTTTACCTTAATGAACGTATTGAAAGTGTGGTTAATGCTGCTAGACTCCATATTTAAAAACGTTTTTTGAAATCAAAGTGAGTATCAGTAAAGTACTCTCTTGTGGTTGTGGCTCCAATGACCAGTACAATGACTTAATTGACATTCTTGTGCAGTGCTTGGATCCCTGCCAGTTAATGACCCATTGCTGCAGTCTGCACAGGCAAATCACCCCTTTTGTCCCTCTCCTCAGGCTGATGGACTTCTGCCCAAGTAATGGCTGCATGCTCCTGTTCTCAGCTGGTGTAGACCCCAGCATGACCATAAAAATCCCTGAGAGGATTGTAATATGATATATTGGACAGATTCTGATATGCCTTGCAGTAATACACCGCCAAGATGTTCTGCTGAAGTCAGTGACTGCCAATGGCATAGCTGAAAGAAGAAGCTGGTCCCTACGCTGTTGTTTTCTCAAGCAGTGAAGCACTTGCAGGCTCTCAGTGAGTCTGTGTCTCTTTAGATGATGCAAGTTTTTGTGAGCCCTTTGTCAAACATTCAAAACAGTTTTTATTTTTGTTCTGCTTTTAAATCGTTTTATTGTCTCTTCCCCCACAGGATTTTCCATTCTTCAGGCAATTATGGAAGCTGCAGTACAGAACAACTGGCAAGTGACAGCCAGATCTGTAGGAAGCATAAAAGATGTTCAAGAGTTCAGAAGAATTATAGAGGAGATGGACAGACGGCAAGAAAAAAGATACTTAATTGACTGTGAAGTAGACAGAATCAACACCATTTTGGAACAGGTATCTGCTTTTCAGAAATTGTGATCTCTCTGTGACAGATATCATTAATATTTCCAGAAGTGCTTATTTCTAGAGGTTATTAAGTATCCTTTGAGATGTCCCAACAACTGGCCAGTTACCTAGTAAAATTAAAATGTCACAATGATGCTCATAGTTGGTGGCAGCGCTTAGATGTAACCTACCAGGAAATGTCTCTGTGATATTTTTTCCCAAATGTTAATAATGAATTATTTTTAAGTAGGTAAGGAACCTAAAACTTCAGCTGCCAGAGTAACATTACTGGAATCAAGGCTGCTTGTAAGGATTGCAAGACAGGTGCACTTTTTTAAGTGGAACATGAAACAAGAAATAAAAAGCCAGTGAAATATCACAGAATCACCTTAAAGAATTCCCAGAAGGAAACCCTGCTAATGAAAAATTCAACTGGTAGTCCAAACAATTCGTTAGTACATTTTGGTACATGAAGCCCTCCCCTCTGCACAGCCAGTGCTGTTGACAGGTTTAAATTGTGGGTTATGAGGTCTAGGCACCTTTGTTGGAGAAGATGTATTTGGAGTGACTGTTTTGCTCTTGCCTGGCTTTCCCAGTGTTTGCTTCACCCCAGAGGAATGGCCATACCCTGTGGCCATCCCAGGGTGCTACTCATTATGCCTATGTCACTGGTTGTGCTGTGCAATGTGCTTCAAGAGGTGTAGTAACAGATACAAATTGTTGGAAGCAGACGCAGGGCAGTTCCCTGCTGCCTGGGCTCACAGTAAAGCTGGTGCTGGTGTGGCACCGAATCCATGCTGCTTGGTTATTCACAGGTATGAGAGAATTCAGATGCATTAAGACAGAAGAACCTTCTGATTGCTGCCACTTTTTAAATTTAACTGTGGGTTCATAGTATGGAATAGATGAAGAGTAGCATTTAAATTTCATGAAGCATTAGCATATTTCTTAATTGTAAGCTACCAACAAACTGACCTCACTGCCATAAACCCTGGGAAACATTAAAAACATATTCACTGTCTTCCTTCTCAAAATACTCAGTTCCTGTCAAACCTTGAGGTGTATCACTGAGGGTCAGTCTGTGGGGACAGCCAGGTGCCATAGCTGCTACTTACAGAGCTAGGAAAGAGGTGTTCAAAGAGAACAGGGCACAAGCCATGCTGGTCCCTAACTCTGACAACTGGTGTGGTTGTGATGCTAATGCACAGCATTGCATTTTACGATGTATTTTTAGGCAATATGTTGAGTGCTCTCTTTAGGGAAATTCATACTGAAAAGTGTAAGAAACTTCTTTTTTTTTCTTTTTTTTTTCTTTCGTTTGCTCATGTTCTTGGAAAAGATGCAAAACACCATACCTACCCACAGCCCACTCTTCTGAAAATGCTGCAGGAGAGCACTCCTGAGCCAAGCTTAAAGAGCTCTTTGGGCCCACTCTCAGCTGAGAAGCAGGCCTTTTGTTTGATCTGACTTCATTTACATTTGTTCTCATTTTTTCTTCTATTGTCCAAGAGAAAAAAAAGTCAAACTATTTCAGTGCCTAAAAGGGAAACTGAATACCAAGCAAACCATATAACAAAAAAATGGCAACTCTTTTCTTCTGCTACTATTCTAAATTCAACCCTAGTGAAGTTTAAATTTTATTAAATGTACAATTCGGTCTTCTGTCAATGTGAATAGCATTGTTAAGTAAAAATTTTCTACTGGGGCCTCCAGGTTTCCCCAAACCCTACAGTACATGCTGGTGCCCCTGACGCTAAAAATATCTTCTGTCAACAATTTCCAGAGGTTTTTTAACTGGCTACTGAAAAGCAATGACTTAAATTTCTGCAGGGAAGGTCAGTAATGGTGAATGGACCCTAGGTTAATAGCTGAACAATCATTGTAGACTTTTCCTTCCATCTCCTCTGCTTACCCTGTTATCTTCTCATAAAGTAGTTAAAAGTTTTCACAAACATGTGTCATATTTAAATCCATTCATCCAGTTGGCTTAAGGAAATGAAGAGCTGTCCTTTTTTTAGCCAAGTATGTTCGCTGATAGCATATTATTGAGGGGAGAGATAAGTCTGAATTTGCATATTTCAAATCTAGCATTTTATTGCAGTTTAACAAGTCAATTCAGTGCTATGTGTGGAGTCTAGGAAGGCTGCTCAGCTGAGAAGCAGTAACATCTGAGCCTGTTGCCACTTGCTGATGCACATTTGCAGATGGATTTGTTTTTCCCAGTGAGAACAAAAGGAAGCCAAGACACTACCTGTCTGAGCTGCTGTGTCAGAGTACTGATGGACAAACTGTGTCCCACAGAGGGCTAGTATAGGCTGCCTCAATTCAGCTGCCTCTCCATCCCTCTCCCTTTTTTGGCCTTCTAGGAGCAGAACTCCAAAGGTCAACCCTCCCATCAGCTTCTGGGAGCGATGCTTCCCTCCAGAGAGGGGGTTTATATGGTTACTGTGTGGCACCTGCTTTTTCATTCTCTGAGTCAGCAGCAGTATTTGCCAGTGACCCTGGATTTCAGAGGCTTAAATAGAACTTATTCAAGAAGAAAAGTCATAGCAGAAATAAACAGACTGTAAACCACTAAGCAGTCTACACACGCACTGAGTTTGCTATCAGACTTTTGGGCTCTTGGCCAGCGCATTCAGCAAGCTTGTCAGTGCTCTGCTCCAGGATCCATGTATCATGGCTTTGTGTTAGTGCTTGAATTCAGTAAGAGTGACCTCTTTTCCTGTATCGGGCTGGTCACTGTGTGCACTTCTCTTCCTTTGATCCTTTTTTCAACCAGTTCAGACCAGGGTATACATCTCTTCCAAAACTACAGTCTCATCCAAAGGAATTACACATCTGGGGATTTTCTTTTGAGACTTCAGGTCATTCTGGAATATTCTGTACCTTCTTCCCGCAATATACAGACATGTGAATCAGTGACCTTGAGTATTCTGTATGCATGTGGCACATGCGTATGTCTCTACATTTCCAAGACCTGTAACCTGTCATGAAGTATTTCTCTTCTCAGGGCAGTCCGATACCTGATTTTCCTGGCTATAAATTCAAGGTTGGGAAAAGAGGGCATTTCAGCTGCTACTCTGCCTGAGTATCCTGTTTTGTGCCAAATTTCATACTGCTGGTTAATCTGTTTTCATTCCCCATTCAGAAGATTTTGTGATGGGCCTTATATTTTGTCCTGGAGGTGAATACCCTGCCCAAACCTCTTCAGCTGTAGAATAGAGGGAAACAGAGAAAACACTAGTTATTCCATAAGTTGCCATCTGTTTGTTCACTTGCCCTATAGTTCTATAACCACTGAGCATGTGGATCTATATCAAATTCAGTCATCTACTGGCCTCTCAGGCATGCAGATAGCAACATTTATATCATGCAAAATTCATAAGCTCCCCACACTTCTTGTCCCTTGATGCTAAAATATTCTGTATTTCTTCACAGATAGATATAAAATTTTGTTCCCATAAACAGAAGAACATTTTCTTCTGAGAGCTAACAGTAAGCCTTAGCCTGTTCAACCATGTATTTAGAGACATGTTTTTTGAGTTAAGAAATACGTTTTTCTTATTCCCAGGAAAATAAGCTGTATCTCAGACTAGAGTGGCTTTGTGTCCACTTAGAAGAAAACCTTTTGAGGGCAAATGAGCAGGAAGAAACTCCATTCAGGGTCAAAATGGTGAAACTTTACAAAAGACCTGTTTATTTCAGAGACTGCATGCTTTTATCAAAAGGACACTATCTCCAAACTTAGTCATGAAGGTTAGGCTTCAAGGCAGTGTCTGTATTAAGTAAAGGCATCTCACAAAGCAAAAGTAATACTACAGTAGAGAATGCAGTCCTCAAAGTTACAATGACAGCCAGACTGTGAAAGACAAAGTGAAGCATCTCTAGGATTAAGGAGGGTAATCTGATTGGCTGAACTCTGTCCTGTGCGCAGACTGGCTATGACAACCTTCGAGTCTGAAATTCTGAGATTAGGATGGAGGTGTGCAGGTTTTTCAGTACAGCCCCAGCTGCATCTCCCTGCAGAGCTGCTCTGATCTCAAAGGAGTGAGCTCACTGCACAACAGCTTTCACATTTAGAGTGTCATAAGAATAACCAAACTGCAGTATTGGGTTGAGGAACTGTCATTAAAAATAGCAATAGGGCAAAATGTAACTGAAGAAATTCAAGACCACTCTCATGTAAACTTCCTGGTATGTGTGGTCCATTATAAACAGATGGTCTGGTGGGGATTTGCCTGTGTTCTCCATAGCAATTTAAAATACAATTGCCTACAAATGCAGAGGAACACTTGAAGCAGAGCTATGAGTAGCTTCAGCTTCTGCTTTGCTTTTGAAGCCCAGGAGTGCCGTGTCCTCTGAAGGTACTGCGCTGCTCAGAGCAGGCCCTCAAGAGCAGTGTGCCCGTCACCTACTCCAGGGCACAGGGCCACAGCTGTGTCACAGGCTGATTTTATCCTTTGTCTGCAGCTGTGTGGAGCAGTGGGGTTCAGCTGAGGCTCCTAGAGAGTATCTGCTTTGTAGAGTGTTGTGTAACTTCACTCTGAAACTGGTACAGTTCATTTTTACATTTCCAATGAACTAGAAACTTAAAATTTAGGACGTTTTTTCCTTGGATACCCATGAGTATTGTTGAAATCAGGATGTAAAGCAGAATAAAAGGTCATTTCTTTCCCTTCACACCCAGGGAGTTTCAGCAGCTCCCAAGTCCATATGGGCTTATGGGGAGGAAAGGGGAATTACTTAGGTCAGGCACCGTCAGTACATAGCCAGCAGAAGAGTAAGAATGGGCATAAGTCAGAAGTGACAGCTGTATCTGCCTTAAAGGGCCTGTTCCTGTCAGCTGTGAAACTCATAAAGGGCAGGAGATGAATTGCTAAAGCAGGGAGAGTAACATATATTACCCCACATACAGTAAATTTCACACATACCTGAGGAAAGAATTTCTATGTTGTAAAAAGGAACGTCTCTCCAAAGCCATCATCCAGATTTCATAAAACAAGCCAGGT